CGGGGGGGGGGGGGGGTTGAGAGTGAGAAGCTGCCTGCACAGTTTTAAGGCTATGGAATGTATGTTTGAAAGTTATTGGGTGAACAATGGAAATTCAAGGAAAGTCTGTCTTGTGTACATTGCAGTGACTTCTGCAAGTTCTAGCTACCCCATAGGTGGGATACTCAGTAAATAGAACAAGGTGGCAGTTAAATTATTACATCATATTTCATTTCCCCAGATTTGGGATTTCCAAGAGTTTTGCCTGATGAAACCAAGAAACAGATGTTTGCCCAAAAGGCACCTTTCATACAAAGCCATGAGAAAGACTCCACAAAACTCAATTATGAAAATACCTCAAACAATAAGAATCCTCACAAGGAAGTTTAAATTATTTTGCTCTTTGTGCTTAGCTTACCAAAAAAAGAAAAATCAGCACTTGTATCAAACCTGTCCTGAAACTTCCAGAGAAAAATATACTTCATCTTGATTGGTTAAGTCAAATTCAAATCACATGACATAAAAGTGCTATGCATATAATAATTCCAAAGGGACAGAAAACAAAATCCTTGTGCTTTCTGAATATAAAAGAAATAATGTGTGCATTTGGACTGGAAACATTCACATATTTTTCTAAATCAAAAATAGGCAGGCTATTGCTATTCCTACGTTTTTATTACAAGGCAAGCTGAGTTAGCTTTAAAGGAGCCCATGCATTTCTTTTAATGCCAAAACTAGAGCTTGTACACGTGTTCATTCCTATTTCTTCCCATTTTTTTTTTTGGATATCGATCCCCTAATTTGAGAAGAAGCATTTATTCGCACTTTGGTTAAATAATTTGGAATCATTGGAATTTGGAATGACCTAGAGTTTAGCTGCAGATTCCAATTTACCTTCTTTCAGGCCCTGTCTGATATACTTAGCTTTGAATACTTATATTATAGCCATATACCTCAAGTCAGTTGGATTAGTATGTAAAATATATCTTAATCTATATTTACTGCGTGCTGAGAAAGCACTGATCACTGGTACCTACCAAAATCAATACTAATAAATAGCACAACTTACAAATTAACTGAATCTTGCTTTGAAACAGCTGGTTAAAAATAGCATGCATTATCTATTTTTCTAAGTATTGTAGCTAAATTGGAAACACCATATGCTATAAGAGCGAAGTCCTAGACACTCATTTTAAAAGCAGGGTCACTATTCTCAGCTGATTCAATGAGCTGATTTTTCTGGGGCTGGAAGAACTCGCTACAAGGGTCTACATTTTAATTCCATTCCTTCTTGTCTGCCTTCCTGGTTATGCCTAGTTTTACAAGTTGATAATGTAAAATTTGATCTATCCTTTGCCACCCTTACCAGAAATCATTAGCTATTAGCGTGGGCAGAAAAGCATAGCACAATAGCATAGCATGCCTAAAATTAGATGATATCAGGAATACAGAAGACAAGGAAGGACAAGATCTCACCACTAGATCCAGAGTTCTATTTTCGCAACAGGTTTCTTGTGAGACTCAGCTCCACTTTCTACATATGCACGAAATGGGGAAACAGTGTAGAAGCTGGGGGCAAGAGAGTGTAGGGCAAGTCTTCATTGTATCTAAGTTTTTTTTTTTTTTCTCCTAAAGAATAGTATCTCCCTACATCTAGGTGGCTCTCAGTGCAACTTATACTAATAAAGAACCTCTGGACAGCATTGGGATCAGGCCCAAACTATTTTCTTAAGTGGTCCCTTCTCCCTGATATGATGCTTTGTTCTGGAGTAGTGAGAACAAGATCTGGCACTTAACTGATTCCCTTACAGAACAATGAATTGGTTTCTGGAATTAAATAAACCTGTAGCATTAAGCTTTGAAGCAAATAAGAGAATCAAGAGGGGTGACCTTGCAGAGAGAATATAACTAACTTATCTGCTTTGCTAGATCATGGTACCCTGATAATTCATATAAACTGATCTAGGATCAGGATACCCAAATATACTAAATTTGTCAAAATAGGCCAGTCTTACCAATATCTTCATTGAATAGCTTTGGTGTGTTCATAACATTTTTGGAAGCACTTTACCCTTATAAATGGGTATGTATCCATCCATTTCAGTAGGCAACTGAATATGTATGTCTAGAGTCAACAAATAACTTCTTAATGCTTTTCAAAGGTACTGCACTAAGAAATAAAAAATAGGCTCAATTCTCCCCCTTAAGAAGATAATAATTTGAAAAAAAGAACAGTTATTAATAAAAAGGCAATGTAATAATCTAATCCTCATTTGTTCCAGTGGGCATAGGTCAGGACTATAAAAGCAGCTTAGGAGAGTGATTCATTTATGAGGAATGTATGCAAATAATTGGCATACTTCCTTTTTTTCCATAAGTAGATAAATCAGTGGTTATCAGCTAGATCATTGGCATATAAAGTGGTTACAGAGTTGGCTAATATAATAAGTCTTTTGTTATGAATTTCTCATTCAAGCAGATACAGTTTTTCATTTCCTTTTATGTATTCAGAATTTGAGTATGATGTATGCAGGTCTGTAGGAGCTCTGCAATTTCCACGTGGGCAGATTTCAAAGCCATGGACAAAGCAGAATTGCCAGCCTACATGATGAAGAAGAAGGAAAAAGGAGATTATTATGCCAGCACCCCTAATCTCTTTACTTTTCCCAGATAGACACACCCAAATTTAAAGATGTATATTTATGAGGTGAATTATGTGAATAAAGAATAATGTACTTGCTTCTGCTGTATAGAAGGCAAGCCCATTAGGACTTCTATGTGAGGACAGGCTATCTATCTATCTATCTATCTATCTATCTATCTATCTATCTATCTATCATCCATCCATCCATCCATCCATCCATCCACCCACCTACCTACCTACCTACCTACCTACCTACCTACCATCTATATCTATTCTGGATTTTTGGTAGCAATTATGAATCTGCATTTTAAATTAGAAATTTGAAGCATGCAAATTATTTCTTTTGATTTTACAGAACCCAACCTGTTTACAAAATGAATCCTCTGCTCATAGAGAGGAGCACTCATTAATGAAACAGTCCCTTTATCTCAAGACCATGACTAGAATAAACATGGGCTATTTGTGGAAAAGGATGCTGAAGGTTTCCAGCTGCACCAGTGCTTATGAAATTACAGGCACATTATAAATCATGGTCTTGCCTTAGACCTATTTTGCATATTGTGCTTCAAAACTAGGCACTTTCACAATGAGTCAAAACTTGATAAGACTCATCTGTACCTAATTATAGCATTTTCTTCAGCTTCCATCAAGATAAAGTAAACAAAAGTTTTTCCAATGTAAATTAAACTATGAAAGAAAGATAAACTGCAGTGTATTTAGTCTAGCTGAGTTATTTTCCTGACTGGAACTGGTCTCACACCCGGCAAACTGAGGATCAGTTTTATGAAAGTTATTTAGTAAGTTCTGGTTTGTATGTTTTTAAGAATCTAGAGTGACATTCCACAAATGGCTAGGTAATTTTTACTGTGAGTAGAACAAAGTTACTCAATATAATGTACAAGAACATGGAAGCCATTATAGTCCAATAGTAAAACGTTAGATAAATACCTTGATTTAGTTCTATGTTAAATTATGGGAATGTATTATCAATCATTTCTTCATATTTGCTGAATGTTCTATACCCATCACTTTTATTTTATGTCCATTAAACACTTAACTAATTTAAATATTATCTTAAATAATAACCAATACACTGTCATTGTAAAGGTTCTTACATTTGGTCCAAATTGCAGGGAAAATGAGCAAGGGTATTACTTTACCTTGTAAGTAGGGATCCACCCATGAAGAATTTCACCTTGAAATCTGTACTTTCAAACAAAGCATGTATCCACATACTCAATCTTGTTGTATCATGAACTTTTAATTGACAGATACTATTCAAATAGTTTTCTAGCATGCTTGTTTTACTCTATCATGGTGCCATTACATCATGTGATTTAAATTACTGTGCACATATAATTATGGTGTTTATGGGTATTATATCTACACAAACCTCATACTAATCTGTGACTGAGTAAAATAATTACTTGTAAGAACTATACCCTTTATGCAATTTTGTGTTGCATGTGGTCCCTTTTAAGAGATCCACAGTCAAATCAAGAGCAAATCTATCTGAACAACATACATTTCTATAAGAATGTCTGCATTCTGGAGGAAAAAAAATCATCCACATTATTGGTTCCGAAACTTTTAAACTCAAACTTGTTGGGGTTAATATCTGGCAAGCTTATTTTCAGTGTAGCTAAACCCGCAGGATCTTGTTTATTTGTGTTTAGTTTTACAACTGACATAAAAAGAAGATAGCAAACAGCTTTAAAAAGTGCACAGTATAATATTGTTAAAATATATCATACCTGTCCTCTCTAAAAATAGCAAATCTTAACTAATTGCCAACAATTAGAATACCTGTTAAAGCTCCGATAATCTTAAACCAAAAAGGTCTCCACACCAAATCTTTTTAAATAACCACATTTTTATTAAATCAAAAGCAGAGAAATGTTGAATTGCCTAGCAAATTTCATTCAGCCGGGCACCCCTTCAAATGTCATTATAGAAATAGCCCTAGTCCAAATAATTTTGTAAGTAAAAACTCATACAGAGCACCTAGCCAAAAATATATGGGAAAAGGTGTCTATTTTTCTCACCTTGTCCACTAATGTAGGATCACAGCCTGAATGAGATAAAAGAAGTTTCACCATCTCCAAATTACCATGCTGAGAAGCCACCATTAATGGTGATAGACCATCGTCATCCTGAAGGTTTATATCAGCATTGCATGACAGCAATGCTTTCACCATATCTTCTCTATCATGGCTCACTCCCAAAATTAAGGCAGTCTGTCCACCCTAGAAAACACCATTAATGATAGTTGCATACTCAATGTTTATATATCATTCTCATTCACTTATACTCATCACTAAAATACCAATATCTACAAGCAATCTTTCATAATACACTGTGGGAGATGATGCAAGAGGACATAACATTCTTTGGATCCCCCCCCCCCCCAAGGTTGTAGAGAAGATGTGGATCTCAAAATGGGAAATCTGATTTTAGAAACCCAGTTCCTCTTCAGCCTCTAAGTCCAGTTTTTCCTAAAGAGATGTTTTAGTAGCAGAAAAAGAAGACAAGGGGAGGGTTGATCAGTCAGGAAGCATGCTGAGATGAACTGTGGATTTGCTGGATCTAGTGCACTCCCAGCTCCCCACCTACCTTGCAAGTACTCTGTGTCACCTCTGGAGGCATTAGTTGATGGAAGCATGGTGAAAGATCCACAAGCTATGAAGGTGCTGTCCATTTCTTAATGAATGAACTTTTCCATCTTATAGTTGGTTCATCTTTTGGTTTAACATTAGATCATCTGATGTTATTTAAGTGTATTAATAGTAAACACTTTATAAAATCACTGGAAATGAAATGTTTTGAATAATCCCTTATTTTCCTTGATGATGATCAAATGAAGTCATTTGACTTAGGTGTAATCAAGTCAGGCCTTACCCCTTGTGACTGTTTGGACAAATCCTATTATTTCAACCTATACCCAAAGATATCCCAATTTCTTCCAAGGACATTCCAGTGACTTTCCTGATCCTGTCCATCTGCCATATTTATTGTCTTCACTTTCTTCTACTTGTCTCAGCCTTGCCAAGTAGTGGCCCAGCCTCCTTTCACATTTGATGTGACCTTTTACTTGCTGATCACTTCATGGGAGCAGATACAGGTAGTCCTTGATTAATGACCACTTGTTCAGCAACCGAAGTTACGATGGTATTGAACAAGGAGACTTACAACCAGTCCTTGAAGTTGTGGCTGTCACAGCATCTCCATTGTCATGTGATTGCAATTAGGATGCTTGGCAAATGGCTCAAAATTACGACGGTCGTAGTGTCGCAGTCACATGATCACCACAGCCGGATTTTGACAAGCAAAGTCAATGAAAAAGCCAGCAGGAGGTTGCAAATGGTGATCACATGACATTGTGCTTAATGACCATGCAGAATTCACTTAATGACAGCAACCGAGACTTCCAGAACTGCTGTTGTAAGTCAGCACGGTCATGTGACTTAGTGAGGTAGTTCCTGGTCCCAATTACTGTCATTAAGCAAGGACTACTTGTATAAACTTTATTTGATCTAGAATGAGTGACTTATTCTTCTTGATGTATATGTTATTATTAATAACTATCTCCAAATCCATAACTCAAAGGTATCTATATTTTTTAATGTCCAACTTTCACAGCAATATATTAATATTGGAAGAAAGCACTGCTTTAACTATTCTGATCTTTTTCATTGTAGTGATATATTAAAGACGAATCAATGTGTCAGAATATCTGATTTTTGTCTTCTCCAGTATATTAGTTATCTATTCTTGAATTCAAGAAAACAAAACTATCATCTTCACAGTATTGCCATCAACTGTGAATTCACTACGCATTTTGGCTGGTACTGTATTATGTTTCTGTTCTCAATATTTAATAATAACCCCAACTTTTTACTTTCCTTTTTTAATTTCTATACAGTTATTCTAAATCTGTGTTCAGCTAACACAGTGTTATTGTCTGAAATGGTTAATACTGTATTTCAACTCCAATTTTATTCTAGGGGTCCTTTCCAATCCTGCTATTAATATATTTACTATATGCTAAACAGGTATGGAGACAATATGCATCTTTAACGGATTCCTTCCTGTTCTGAACCACTCTTTCTCCAAATTCAGTTCTTAAAGTAGTTCCTGGTTTGTTGAAAGGTTCCTTAGGATAATAATCAGATGTCTGGCACATTAATTAGTCTTAATATATTCCCTATTTTTGTATGACCTGTGCAATCAAATGCCTTGCTTTAGTTTAAAAAAAGCAAAGGTAAACAACCTTCTTATATTTTCTCTTTCTTCCTCTCCCTGCATTATTCATCTGATGTTATTCATCTGATGTTGTTCCTCTGCGCCTTCCTTTGGCATTTTTCTTTCCATGTATAGTTTTATTCTTCTTTATAAGACCTTAATCAAAAGTTTCCATGCATCAGGAATGTGTGCAATGATTCACGAATCTGCACACTGTCTTGCATCTCTTTCATTTGGCATAGATAAATATACTGATCTTTTCCAATCTCCAAGTTACTCTAGGTTACATTCTCTTATTCCATACTTGGCATTTGTGCCATTGAGCATTTGTCACTGTAAGTCTCGTCTCCTACAGCCAGTAAGGATTTCATCTGCACTCGGATTTTTCCTATTTACCAGCTAATTTACTGCCCGTCACAATCCCATGTGTAAATTATTTTGGTATAGCTTTTCTACTTTCCTTTACTTCATTTGCATCTATTAGATGCTTTTTTTGGATTACTTTTGAGTAAGCCTACTTTGGCATTACATTTGCATGCAATTTCTCTTAAAATTCTTTCTTCTTAAAAATGCCCCCCTCTTTTTCTTTTTGGCCTTGTTATCGTTAACATTCTTGATTGAAATTCCTTTTTTGCTCTTTTCTTACTTGATGCTGAAAGTTTGTGTTCAATTATCATATATTCTTACTGCAGCAGCTTTTCATTCCCCATTTCTCCCTTGTTATGAAAGCCACTTGCATCTTTTCTTCTCTGAAATCTTGGTTTGGTTTGTTTTTTCCCCCCTATTTTTGTTTTCACATACCTCTTCCCATACCTCCTAGGTTCTCTTTTGCATAACCTATGTGCATCAATGGGTCCTTACACTGATCCTATACTCAGATTGTATATTCTCCAAATCAAATCTTGATGGCATAGCTAATCTCTTTAATTTTCAAAGTATAACCTGTATACCTGTATATTTCTGGTCTGTTTCACCATCTGCACCAAGAAATGCTCTGACTATAGACTGTACTTATCCGTCTTCTGATTTTTTTTTTTTATTATGTGGTCAATTTTATTTAAGTTATCTGTTAATGTCTAGGACCAGAAGTAGAATTTATGTTTTCATTGTTTAAAGGACATATTGAACAAAAAATATCTTCACAAAATCTTTCTCCAGCATTATGGCATTTATCCAATACAAATCTTGATGTAATTCTAGGTTCCTCTGTTTCTTCAACTTATGCATTCTAATTAATAATACTATAGAAGCTGCATTTAGCAAGTTTTGCAATTTGTAAAATGGACCATTCCAAACCACCTAGGTTCACTTACTCCTAAAATATCTAATTTAGGGTATTTCATTTCTACTTTGACAATTTAAAGTTTTCCTTGATTCATGCTATTCAGATGTTATGTTCCAATCAAAGAAAGCCTTTCAGTACTGGCCTCATCAGTGACCAGATTCTTGTGACTTTGGTTTGAAATGACATTACCTCCAGATCTACTCATGAAAGGTTAATGCTCTTTTCCATTAACCAGAGAAGTATCTTCTGACCTGGGGAGTTTCATCATCTAGCACCAAAACTTCTCTAAATATTTTAGCCATGTTCAGTTTTCTTAGCAACTGTATGAAAATGGTTTGTCCTTGTTTTTTCCAGGTTTTATTTTGGAATTCTTTCTCCTAGGTGATATGTACATATAATAACAAATCATGAAATATTATTGGAGAACATGATCATATAAAAATAGCCTTTGGGTTAACAAAAATTTAAATATACCTGGCTAGCCCTTATGTTAACATTGCCTTCTTTCAACAGCTTTGTGACTACCTCCATTTCTTCCTCAGTCTCTGCTGACGCTAGCGGAGTGATCATTACTGCTGTATACCCAGCTTTATTTTGATGATCCACATCACAAATACCTAAAGAAGAAACAAAGCATTAGATATCAGTAATTGGAGAGGAAGACTTTTCAAAATTGATTTAGTTATAGTCTCAAAACCTAAATGAGATACTTCTCCTCTACTGAACTGTTCTTCCAATAGTGATGAAGAGGTTTCACCTCAGCTGAGACTGCCACTGTATCCGCAAGAAGCTCCATGATGTTACTGCCAACAAGGTTTCCACCAGCAGTAATCAACAGGACTCAAAAGAAGCAAGAACAGCACTGATAGAAATAGGATGTCTGCATTCTTCTAAGGAGCTCCCTCACCTAAGTTGTGGGGGAAATGCCTACTTAAATTAGGAACCAAAGCAACGGGAGATAGATGCAACAACAAGTCTTTTACTGGCACACATAACTACAGTGATCACTGGGCTCCTTGCAAAGAAACACAGAAGAGACCCAAAGCCCACAAGGTTATACCATCTGAAAATTGTACACAAAAGCAATGCATTCCTGAATTACAACATGCAGGAATGTAGGATCTAATAACTACAACATAGGGTGATCTTACTATGGACTGACCCAGCACCTCTACATTCTGCTCTTCTAAGGAGACTCCAGGCCCTAGCACCTTCTAACATAAACAATGACCTTTATTGTACCCATATATTGATGCCCTTCACACCACAGAAAAGACAACAACCTTGCTTTTGTTATTTGTCTCCTTCCCTTCCAGGGTCATCAGGCAGCTTCAGTTTGCCTATTCTGCCTAATATGCACTTCAGTTTCATGTATGTAAGGAGAATACTCTTTGTCCTCAACATCTACATAGCCAAGAACTGATAGACTATGTTTTCTTACTTCTATTGTACCCAATGAGAGGGAGAATTATAAAAACTCTACTCTGTCTTGGCCAGCACAGATAGCAGGACCTTTAGATATGGTGAGCTGTGGCTGCACTCATCTCTGACCCCAGTTTAGGATGCATTCTTAACCATAATATTTACTATAAATCTACTTTATCATTACATAAACCAGTGGGATATACAGATAATTGCATCAACAAAGAAAGCTGTTTCTGTTGCTTCAGTTCTAGGATATTTAATTCATAGGGCAGATTTTACAAAGAATGAATATGTTTCTTTTTAGGTCAAGAATTCAGAAAACAAGTCATGGGGAAATCATAATGGGAGTTTCTCAAATTTTTGATCAGGAAACTATAAAAATTATGTAATTCCACCCACCCCACATCAATGTTGCTCCTTTAGCTTTGTTTAGAATCTACCACCAAGCAAACACAGAAGTATAAATATATATCTTAAATTAACAGTACAATGAGGAACTCTTGATCCATCCTACTCTCATCCCAGGAAGGGCAATTCATGTTTACTGGTAGGGATTACTGAGCACATTTGTTAAAGTATTTTCAGAAACTCTTCGTTGGTATCATATAAGAAGACCTTGATATGCTCTTCTGCAAATATAAATGGGCCCTAAATAATAGTGACAACATTTTTATCTCTGGTCAGCAGAGGTCAGTAGTATGCAAAATTGTCTAGACAATTATGCCACCTTGCACATGGCCCAAGAAAATGTACTGTGATACTAAGTAGAACTGCAATTTCATTCAAAATATGTTGCAATACATTTGGACTCTGGGTGAAAAACTAGGAAAGAATAGGGGAAGTAAGAGTTACCTTACGTAGGAGAATATATATTGGATTAGAGCCAGATTTAGTGAAACATAGAACCAAACCACCAAAATCATTTATGACTTATTTAGACTAGATCTTATCCATTATGTCTGATTTAATGTGTAAGTTTTCCATGTATTTCCTGTACTCCCTATCAGATACTGATTGCCCTAACCATATCATTCATTCAATTAATCCAATGATCCACTATTTTTTTTTCTGCTAAACTTCCAAATAACCATAGTCTTCTGGGTAGAATTCCTCCAAGAAAGATGCAGGTTGAAAGGGCAAAGGGATATATTGTATGTGAGCTAGACAAAGGTAGTTCAGGAACAGAATGCAGGCTTTTCTAATAAATGATCTCAAGCAGCAAAGTTGATAAAGACATTTGCTTAGAGAATTGCAGCCAGTCAGAGCAGACAAATACAGGGTGTCCTTGAAGATTTGCATCATTACTAGAACATCAGAACATTCTTCTTTTTTTCATAATGACTTGAAACAAGTTAGTATTTAAAGTCTGTGTGTAGCTCTGAACATAATTGCCTGAAGGCAATCTACTGAGAGAACAAAACAACCTTGTTTGAAACTTCTGGAGTTGTTAGGAAGCCTTAGCGCAACAATTGATTTATAGACACTTATGATAATATGCCATTTTCCTAACATTTTACAGGTTGTCATGCCAACTAAATAGTAACAAAGCTTCTTTCTTCTCGCTAGAAAATGCATTCATGTTTATTGGATGAGAATTTCACAAGACTCTTTTCCTATTTGACCTAACAGATCACTTACTTTATACGAAATTATTCTTGCTGAATTATAGATTTCTCTTACAATCTTAAAAGCTTCCAAGTAACAATCCCTAATTATGAAATATCAATTCAACCCTTGACATAGAATATTTTTTGTTGTATGTACCCATATACTCAAAGTACCAAACACCATAACATGTTTAAAAAGTTTCAATCACCTTCAACTGCTAGACATACATTGGAAATGAGTTTGACGTCTAAGGTGTGAATCAACTTTCAACCAAATTAGATTATGAAGGTTCCATTATATGTCCGCTTTGTCATGTCTATCGATTCTTAGGAATACAGCAGGGGAAAACCCTCATGATTATATATTTATTTATTAAACTCATTAAGGCCGCCCGACTCCAAAAAATATTCTAGGCATAGTATAAACCAAGAAAGCTAAAATTAAAACGTAAAGCCTAAAGACAGAATTTGGTAATAAATGAGAATGGAATGGAAGACAATAGAAATAGGTAAACAGCCTTTGATTTGTTTCATGTATATCAGCTAAGAAAACAAACTTAGCAGAAGATCCACCAGAATGGGATGGGTGTGATAAAAATCTGCACCACAACATCATGATGCAATATACTCAGATCCAACATTGGGGAACAAATATGAAAGGCAGGGGCTTAAGACATGATGCTTCAGCTCACATGTTGTCATTTTTCATCATTGCAGTTTATACCAGGCATCTGTGATACCAGGTTTGGCAGTATGAAATGGAGATTAAAAAGGCCAGTTCAGCGGGAATTTTCAAAGCCCAGCAAATGGAAACAAAGCTCAAATTAAGGATTCTTACCTGTCTCTAAAAGAAGCTTCACAATCCAAAAGTTAGAATGAGAAACACTATAATGAAGGGCTGTGTTGCCATTTCCATCAGCTAAATTTACAATTACATTCTGTAGTTGTGGATGAACGGCCTTAATCTCGCTGAGGTAAGCTGCAACGATTTCAGGGCTGGAGGATTTTCTGCTTGAGATTCGGAACCACTCTTGACACACAGTGCTTAACACGTGCCTCTAAAAAGATCAGGATCTGATTTAGTTTCACAGTGTTTTTAAACCATTCAGCCATGTTTATATTTTTTACCCTCAACCCAAACCACAAGAATCCCACTTTGACCTCTTTGGAATAAATGAATTTTCATAGAATCCAATACTTGGGGGAATCTACTGCTTTATTTAAAAGCTACCTTCCCTGAATAATATTGTGTCTGAAACGATTTGATTATTTGCAACTTTCTACTAGAAGTTCCTCTCATTAAATAATTTTGAGGGGAATACCCTCAAGAGTTGTCCCTTCAGTTTTGTATCATATAGATATTTAAGGGAACCATACATGTCTAGCTAATATATTCAGCGGGGGAGGGTGGCTTATCCTCCATTGCGGCAATTTAATTATTGGAAGGATTCCTCATTTTTTTCCCCAAAATGTTTTATTTTCTGGAGAGCTCTTTACTCTCACTCTTCATTTGACACCTGCTTAATTTTTCTAAATGGATAAGTTTATAAAACTCTCTTTATTGTTGTTCTCTGTTATAGCCCCTAAGACTACTGGATGAGCAGGAGTAAGAACATTTTGGTTTCATTAGTGTGATTTGCTCAGCCATATTGCTTGAACTGATTATTAATGTATGGCACTTCTATCTTCAGTATTTTACCTGGTAGTTTTTTTTACTAATCTGCAGTCAGGTAAGTAAGCCATAATATTTGAGAGTCAGTGGGTGTAGTGGTTAAGATCTGGAACAGTAACCAGGAGACCATGAGTTCTAGTTTTCCCTTAGGCATGAAAGCTAGTTGGGTGACTTCGGGCCAATCACTCTCTCTCAGCCCACCCTACCTCACAGGGCTGTGGTTGTGGGGAAAACAGGAGGAGGGAGCATTATGTAGGCGACTTTGTTTTGTACTAATTAAAGGTAGGGTATAAATCTAATTATATCTAAATAATTTACTTAGAATTTAAAAACCAGGTATATTGAAACTAGTTAGCCTTATTTATTTTTTTATTTATTTGTCACATTTATATAGCTGCCCATCTCACACAAAGTGACTCTGGGCGGCGTACAATAATTAAATAAATAACAAGTGGATAAAAACAAGCATTATAAAATGATAAAAAGTTGTTATTAAAAATAAAAACCTCACAGATTTGTTTAAAAAATAGATTTTAAAATATACAAACCCCACTGAGAGAGCAGAATATCAATTACAGTGGAGCCATCGAAGACCCCCTAGACCTGATGACACAACCAGGTCTTGAGGGATTTCCTAAATGACAGCAGGGAAGGGGCAAGCTTCACTTCAGGCGGGAGAATGTTCCACAAGGAGGGAGCCATGGCAGAGAAGGGCCACCTCCTGGGACCCACCAAATGCAAGTCCCTGGCTGATGGAATGCATAGCATACCTCCCCTGCTAGATCTAAAGGGATGGGCTGCTATAACTGAGGAGAGGCGGTCCCTCAGATAACACTTCCTTCCTAATGCAGCAGAAAATCAGAACATCTTTTTGCTATTTCCTAAGACACAGACTTCATATTCCAGAAAATACTATTTATTTATGAAATGTATACATTGCCTCAGTCCATTCAGACTTTAGGTAGTTTACATGTATATAGATTAAACATACGTTGTCATATAATAAAAGATACAATACAATATAACAATTTAAAAACTCTCCATGTTCTGCAGTACTCCAGGCACCAACTTTCCACAACTCTGTGCTTTCCTGTTGTCTTCACCCTACAAATTTCAGCATTCTTAGTTGACTTAGCCAGTGATTGTGCTAGTTAAGAATTCATGGTGCACGTAGCTTAACATTATCTGAAGGACACCAAGCATTCACTGTATATTTAAGGAATTGCCCCCCAAATGTGGACCTCAACTACACATTTTCCAATAAACAAAAACAAAAGCCACTGATCTCTTTCTTGGAATCCTTCTCTCATGTTACAATCCCATGCAGCCTCACTTTCTATACTCTCAACTATAACATAAATGATGCTAATCACTTAGAATTCGTTGCAGCCTTAGAAGCAGCATTTAAAACCACAGGAATGGCCACAGAGACCTGAGGAAACATAAGGCAGACAATCATACCACAGACCAGAAGAACACAGAATCAGAACCCACTCAAAGCAGAGAACAGAGAAGTTTTAAAAACCTAAAGAAAGACCAAACCATCATCATACTCCCAGCAGACAAAGGCCAAACCACGGTTATCATAGACAGAACACAATACACACAAAGAGCCAAATAATTACTGGAGGACAATGGAGCCTACATCCCAATCCAATACAGAAACTTGACAACCTGATCAAAAGAACCCTTAATGACCTAACCAAGATAGGTCAAATCACAAAAGAAGAACAGTGGCAGATGAAAAGCAGCGGACTCATCCTCCCACGCTTCTATGGATGCCCCAAAATACACAAGCTCAACATATCTCTTCGTCCAATTTTATCGTTACCAGGGACCCCAACATACAACATAGCCAAAGAGCTTTCAAAAAAGCTTGGACATCTCACAGAGAGGAGCGAACATTCTATCAACTCCCCACTAGAGTGCCTCCAGAAAATCAAAGACCTAAAAACAGAAGAAGATGAAATGATGATTTCATTCAATAACACAGCACTAGCAAAAAAATCCATGGCAGCTACACAACACACCTGACCTAACCAAATACACTAAGATCTAAATACTCAGAATCATGGACCTTATCAACCTCTACCTCACTACCTACTTTCAGTTTGATGAAAAAATATACCAACAAATCAGAGGAACACCCATGGGATCACCACTCTCAGGACTCATAGCAGAGATTGTAATGCAGCATCTAGAAACTATAGCACATAGGACAGGCAGAAGACTAACAGAACGCATCCATGAACATCAACTAGCGGTCAGAAGACATGATGAAAACTCCTTAAGCTCACAACACATGGACAGACTCAACCATAGTTTCAGTTTCTGGGAAACTGAGCATTCTAGACCAAGCTCAATCCAAAAACTAGAGGGAGTTCCTGGAAGCTTGACATTCAGACACATCAGCCATCAATAGACACATAGAGATAAACCATATTTACATACCATTCAAAAGAGACAATAAAAAAGCTAAGAAAGAAACAAAAAGAAATCCTTTCCAGCAGCCTACACCCAGATAAGCAGGGATTAACACCAGACAGACTATCAAGCCGAAAACAGTACCCTAATCAACACCAAGGAGAAAATCACACCCCCACCAACACTGGCAAGGCAAGCTACTGTATATAAACAGGGAGCAAACCCCACACTCACTAGCACTGATGATGTTACCTAGTCAGGTAATGAAATGTCCACAAGCAAACAACCAAGCTCAGAGAGCACCAAAGACTCCACAGCCTCACTTTCGTTGTAGCTAAAGTGTTAAAGCTATTTTCCACTGAATTCCTATTGGGTGGGGGGTTAACAAGTTCTAGTGTGAGATCTGAAATGCATTGTCTTTTTTTTTTCCTCAAAAGAACTAAGGGAATTGTTTTATTATTATCTGTCTCAAGGGAATGCCATATATTTATGAACATGTTATTTACCCTTAACTTGACCTTTTCATTAAATTCTATCCCAAAATTCAATTTAGATTCTGAGGAGAGGAATTTCAAAATTCCTATGACTATTAATAGTGCTCCTATATAAAAATAATGCTTAAATTATTTAAGTATTAAATAAGATTTTAAAGAAAAATAAAAGAAACACATGATTAAAATGCAAATGAAAAATTATGAGTACCAGGAATTTGTCCTTTGTGGTCCTTATTTCTGACAGGTTTTTGCTTAAGATCTGGCACCCTTTCAGAAAATCTCCAGAGGGTTTAAATCTGAAAATGAAAAACATAGTTGTGTGTGTGTGTATTTACCTTAAGAAATACATAAGGAATGATGGATTGGAATTGGGAAAAATATAGACATGGTAATGGGCAACAGGGCTTTATTATGAATCTCCCAACCCTTAACTACTTGGCTTTTTACTGCTTTATTCCCAATGCTACTTTTACTATTAAGGCTCTTCTTTATACATAAAAGTGACCTAACTTACTGGAAAGGTTCAAAGCAGAAAGTAAAGTATAGCAATTATAGCTAGAGCAAGAGTTTACACCCTTCCCTACAATGAGTATATTATTAATCACACTGGCCATGATCCAATGGAGTTAAGCCTGCTAGATTTGACTGCATGATTTCACTTGGATTGTATTCATCATTTCCACGTACACAATGGGCAGTCTTAGTTTATGAGCAGGGCTCCAGTTCATCAGTTGAGAGAAAGTTCTTCCACACAGAATGACAGAACTACTGGTAACCTATTACATGCATGATGATGGCATTGTCTGCCGAGTGACTCAAGACTTTGATAGAGCAGAGGTAGCCCACAGGCTAAATACGAACTTCTCTCATCTGATTTTTTTTCATCTGATTTTTTTTCTATTCGAGTGCAAAGTGCCTTTTTTTCAGTATCACTATTCCAAGGTTCACTCCACTAATTTAAAGAGGCATTTATAAATCTATCACTAGCTTTGCACTTAAATCTATGGAGTTAAATATGCATTCTTCATGAAATCCGCAATCTGCCCAAAAGAATATCAATCTTCACTGTTATAATATTTCTACATATAAATGCAGATATTATTTTTCTCACTATGTATTATATTTACAGATAACATTATGAAACACAAACTGTTATGGGTTGGTTATATGTTATACAAATGTAGAGAAAGCTATAGTTACCTCTCAACTTTATGCTGCATTGTTGATTTTGTGGTTTCTTCTAGATTTTCTGGATCACAATCTTCCTTTGCACTTTGAGAAGTTCCAGATGCCATGTGGTCATCTTCTTTGACATCTTCCCCCCAACTTTGCTCTTCATTGCCATGTTTTCTGTCCATCTCACTATCTGAATCACCTTCAGAGGAGCTTTCTTCACAACTAGAATCTTCACTGGACGTGGTTTCATAACTGGATAAGGACACCAGATATTACTTAGCTTTTTCTTTTGACAAGCAAGTCAAGAACAAAAGTAGTCAGCCCCAAATGAATTTAACTCTAAAATCCACCCTACGCAAGCCATAAAGTTTTAGAATGCAAAGAAATTAATACATGTGTTCTTTGGTTTATTATTTGGTCATTTTCAATATTGCTTATAATAGTAAAAATATATATCAAATTAGGATATCTTGGAGCTTGGAGTTAATTTGAAAGATAGTATCTTCTTGTAGGAATGATAGTCACATTTTGGCTAGAGCTTGTTCAGAATAGTTTGTGGTACTAATTATGCAGAAGCATTCTGTGGCTGAGTCTGCACACTGCCCCAAACCATAGTTTATTTAATCACAGTTGTTGAATAAGTCACAACTGCTTGGATTCACACAACACACTAAGCCAGTAATCACAGTTTACAGACCTCAGCGGCTGAGTTCATGCAACATACTAAACCAAAACAAATCACATTATGACTTAGAACAAAGTGTGCAACCAAGAGCATCCTTAGCCTAAGTTTAATGGCAGTTAATCCCAAGTAAATGAGCATAAAAGTGTAGCTACCATGCTTATTGAGAGAATAAAGTAATTCCCAGAAAGGGAACGCAGACCTTCCATTGACTGCTAATGCTAAAAGAAAAAAAAAACCCAACCAGCTGTTCTACATGGAAAAACACATCACTGACATCTGTCTCATTGTTATTTATCACTGATATCAAAGCAACACTGCCATTTTAGCTTGAATAAAAATCCACCCTTTTAATCTATGCATTCCTGACATTCATTTTTAGCGCTTCCATGGAGCACTAAATAGAAAAGGCATTTGGCAGCATATATTTGAATAACACATTATTTTGCTTTGGGGAAAAAATGAGTATTCTATGCCACAAAGAGGTCAACTAGCTACATTCAGATAACTCGGAGCATGGAAGGGGGGAGGCAGTAGCCCTGTTTCTCAGTTGCTCTGTAACAGCTGGCATTCAAGGCATGTTGCATCTAGCAGATCGTGATCAAGACAAGCAGCCACTGGTAACCATTTGTGCATTTTTTAAAGCAAAACCATCTAGATGTCAGAGCACTTTAAAGCCATTAGCGCTTGCATGACTATGCTTTTTTTTTATTGATTATGCTCTTAAATTCCTACTTCAGTAAGTTACTTTTTAGAAACAGTTTCTCTACAGTAGACTGTTCTTGAAATTTTGCAAAACGCAGTGTAACTAAACGTAAGGGATAAATGTATCATCCTGCATTTGTAAATTAATTGTTATTCGCAGAATGGTCTTGATGATACTTGTTTTAAATTGTAAGGAGTTGCATTAAAGCGTTTAAGGGTGAGGAGGACCTTACAGTAAGCCAAGGAATTAGCTTATATTTGCTGCTTCGTGAAGAAATGAATACTTGCTTGAACCTCTCTTTTGCACATTTTTGATGATGCTATGACTGTAAGGCTTCATATGGCTGAAACTCGATATGGAGGTACATTTAAAAATGAGATTAACTGAAGAACAATTAGATTTCTCCCAATGCCATAACTAATTTGTTCCTGTATGGCATTTTTAAAAAATCAATTTAAGTACAGACGTAGTCATAATGCTATAAGCAATATTAAAAGCACTGTGCACTTTCAAATTTTTGAACTAACATTTTCAATTTCACCAGTCCAGATGTGAGTAGCCTCATCTGGTCTAGGTAGCTAACTTGCTTGAGTTTAAACCTAAGCAGTAGTTCAGTAGCTTACTGAGTCATACCTGTGTTTGTAGGCACCTAATTCTACTAAAATAATTTGAAACATTTCCACAAATATGACAATAATGATAGTTGTGATCCCCAGATTATAAATGGGGCCCACTTGTTAATGAAGGAGCTGTATTAATTATTGAATGAGTGATATTAGATGGAACCAGACTGAGGTTATTCTACAAAGACTTTTCCCCAAAATTTAAAGAAACACTATTGCAGTTTACAGTAAACTGTGGCTTAGTATTTTATGTCTTGGGCACATATATTCTCTGTTTCCTCCTCCTCCCACCCCCTTTACTCTAGTAAAATCACAAGGAACAAATTTGTATCATCCATTATACCCAGATTCAGGAAGAATTTGATTAGTGTTTAGTTTCTGTAAACAGTCCAAGACATCCATTTAAAGTTTGCTTTTTCAGTGTGTCCGGACAGAATAAAAAATTGTGTTTAGCCGAAAAGAGAAGCAAATGCTTCTCACTGCTTCCTGGTGATTATGTTGGAGGAAGAGGAGGAGGGAGCACTAATCCAGAAACTCATTCACAGAAAACCAGGCTATGCTTCCTCTGCTGAAATCCACATAATCCTTGGAGTAATCTGCTGGGGGCAGGAATTCATGGCAAAGGAGGAGGGGCATAAACAGGAGTGAGCAATCTTTGAGGGGACCAAAACTGCACTTAATATTTGAGGAGGCAAGGCTTCAATGACTAGGAGGAGTCTGCAACCAATTTAGTAGGGCAGGTAAAGAGGGATCTAAAAGGTGAAAAAGGGGGTTTGGGGTGCTGCAAACAGCCTAGGATCTCCAGGTGTCCATTAGTGTTGCATGTGCCTACATTAGTTGTCATTTTAGGAGATTAGATCTGACCTGCAGATACTTTTTCTCCCTCTTGATGTTTGCCCTTGCCTAACTTTCTCATTTCCAGCAGTGGCTGTTTTGCTTCTTAGGAACGAAAAGGAAGAAGGCAATAATCCTGAGTACATCAATACAGAAACAAATGGCCATTTGCCCCTAGGTAGCCACATATAAGCTCCCTTCAACCATCAACAGCCTCTGACTCTGCTAATTTATTGACTGAGTCAGTTGCCAACTGCAGTAAATTTCAGTTTTCCATGTGGTCAGTCTTACAAATAACTCTGGCTCCCCACATGCTTGCTTTACCCTTATTTTTAAATTTTATGGGGAAAAATATTGCTATGGAATAAATTGTCTATTTGGATTTGGAACCAAGGGACGGAGATGAAGTATGGCCAGTGAGAAAGGACTTGGCTAGCAAGGGAGAACAGTGCAGTTTACTGATCCTTCTGCCCTGGAAGCCAAGAACTATTAAGCCTCCCAGAAGCTGGCAGGACTTTATCCTAAGCAACCCATAATAATAGTTGTTCAAAGCTGTGGACTGCACATTTCAGTCCTCTGAGTAATAGGTTCAAGAACTCCCATATTTTTTTTAAACAGTGGCTTGTAAGACAGAATGCGAAAACAATTATAATAAAATTATTTGGGTCCCTGTTTAGAAATCCAAAGGGGAAGAAGGTTAAATTGCAGACTAGTTACAATAACAGTATGGCATAAGGTATGTAAGGTAAGATATAGTATGTAATACATAATGTATGTAATAAAATAACAGTATGGTATACAGGTGAGCCTCAGGTTATGACCACTTGCTCAGCAACCATTCAAACTTGCAGTGGTGCTGAACGAGGGGGACTTACAACTGGTCCTCAGAGTTCTGGCCATCGCATCATCCCTGCAGTCAGATGATTGCAAATTCCAACGTTTCCTGCTGGCTTTCCACAAGCAAAGTCAATGGGGAAGCTGACAGGAAGTAAGAAGTCAGTCATGTGAGGTCCTCATTTAATGACCCATGTGGTCCTCACTTAATGACAGCAACTGGGACTGCCAGAATTGCCATTGCTAAGCAATGCAGTCACATGACATCACACTTTATGGCCCCACCACTTAGTTATGGCAGTTCCGGTCCTAATTGCCATTGTAACCCAAGGACTACCTGTATTGAGGCTTATTGCATAGTCCATTACTCATTCATTGGAAAGATTATCCTTTCTTTTCTGAAATTTGGGATGATCCTGACCTTGACCTCTAAGCAAAGAATCACTGATAGCTGAAGCAGGAATATATGAGTTCTATTAATTACATTTTTTATTGCTTCCTGCCAACTTTTTATAGCAATCTAATCAACATTATAATGGAAGAGGAATAAATGAAGTTACATTTAATCTGACATGTCCATGTCATTTTTGGTACACATGCAACGAAGCATTATAAATGAAAAGGCAATCTTGTCTCTTCCACTGATGCTTACCCACCATTTACCCCAACAAACTGAAGGTTCTTTTTGGTGCCATTACCTCCCTCGTGGAAACCAGTGTCTTTCTTTTTCATAATAGATTTCAGACTTGTGCTCGGAGAGATTCCTGATAGAAATAATTTTTAAAAGACAAGAATATAAAAAATGTTATCATCACCTGTCTTTCTTAATGTTACTATACATGCAAATGCTTAGTTCTGATGCCCATTTTTTTCCATGACAGATGCTTGTGATGGATATTTTTGGGCGGTCGGGGATTCATACAGACACCATACATTCTTCCCCATATAGAAGAGCTTTCAGGCCAACATGGAAGATGTGGTAGAAAAGTCTTCCATGCTGTTTTCTATTGTGAGTCATCCAAACACATTATGGCGGCGAAAGAGTTGTCACTAGAGGTACAAACGACCAGGCTCAAATTATCCTACTTCAGACACATTATGCTAAGACCTGGCTCTGTGGAGAAGGCTCTAATGCTGGGAAAGGTGGATGGAAAGAAGAAGAGGATGACCAGCAGCAAGGTGGAGGGACTCAGTGACAGGGGCAATGGGTGCACCATTGGAAGGCCCAAAAGACCAGGCTAGGGACAGATCATCATGGAGAAAATCTACCTATGTGGTTGCTAAGAGTCAACACAGACTTGATGTCAGTCAAGCAAAACTGGATTTGAAGCAGCATGTTCAGATGGAAGATGTTGTGAGTGGCAACAGAAGTCATCCCCTTTTCCCCCCATTGCCCTGAATTAGCAGTGGTGATCTGACTCATTTCTCATGCTAACTTTTAATTGAGTCACCTTTCCGATTGGGCTGATAAAGAGCTGTAAGTGAACAGGAAAAGAAACAGCTCGGACAACATCAGTTACCATCATACAGCATTTCTCGGAAAGGCAACTAGCAAGCATAGGGGAGTGGTATTAAGCAGCAGTGAGGTATTAGATGCCAGAGCTATCTATGCAATGTAGCCCAGCCTACACTCCAATGCAGGCCTGTTGCCTTCAGGTACAATGAAGGATGTTGTCCCATGATCAGCCTAAGATGCCCCAAGAAGGCATCATCTTGTCTATCAATGCTGCCAAGTAAATTTCTTGAGCTAGATCTACTTCAGATGGAGAATTATCAACTGTAGCACCAGGGCAACTACTCTGTGGTATTCCAGATAAACCACAATGAAAAAGACTACCAGAGTTCTCATTTAGTATGAAGTGCTAATAATAGTACTTTTTGCTAAAATACACTTTTTGGTTGTTTGTAACAACCATTTGGGCTGTATTGTCTAGGCATTTCTACTCTGAAGCTCTGTGTGAGCTACATGGGGCTACCTATGCTAGCCTAATCTGGGGGAAAATAAAACTAGTGACTATGGCAGTACAAAACATCTGGAAGGAATTAGTTTATCTCCATGCTGGAGCACTAGGTCTCAATATGAAAAATTGGCTATTGGTTCTGCTTGCCAACGGATTATTGAATTGGGCGAATTAATTGTGACTTTAAATTATTAACACAAATTAAGACTGTGTTTCTTTTAAAATGTATCTACCTGTTTTTAAATTCTGAAACTTAAAACTTTCTACTCAAATTACAAACCTTGTGCATAATTTTCTTTCAATATTAGTAACTTTAGATCTTTTCCATCCTGTATAGCTTCCTCTCAAACACCGGAATAGCTACTTGTGCAGTTTCCGCACCTGGTTTCCCTTGATATTTTGAATTTTAACTCCTATCAGCCCAAGCCAGTGGAAAAGACTACAAGAGGACAACAAATTGCCTACCTCTTCATCACATTGAGAATCTTCAAATGGGCCACTTTCTGAACTCTGGACAATGCCTTTTCATTCCAGAAGATCTTTTCCAATTTTGCCAAAGTGTTTCTGATATTGCTGTATATCACAACGTGTGATAGGATTGATTATACTGTGTTAATAAGTGGAGATGGCAACATATTTGTTAGCATCACCACATATGCACCGTTATTTTGCAGAGGTTCTAGAATCATGCTAGTTGGCCTAAAATGTTGGAAAATTAATGTTCCAATCTAATTTTCACCCAGCACACTCCCAGTCAATCACTGTATCCGGATCAGAGCACGCATACACAACTCAGTTCAGCTAGCAAAAATATAGCTTGATGTTTACTTATTAAACATCAGCAAATGCCGAAACAGTTAACTGGCAAAAGCAAGGCAAAAGGAGGAAAACTCAGGGAGAGAGACATGGACAACAGGCAAGAATTTACCTACATCTCTATATGTCAAAAGGCACAGAACTTTCCATAGTTTCCACTGCAAACTATATTGTGAATAATTCGCATGAGTGGTGGCCTTTTTTTTATCCCATCTTTAGACCTTTTATGGATAAAATGGCAGAATAGAAATGGAAAGTGGGACACCATGTGATCCCTCCTCTAGTCTGCGCTATTAATGAAACAATTGAATGGATGGGGGTGATGTATCTAACCTAAAAAGTCCCCTCCCAATTCTTGTGATTTTTCCACCATATCCTCAGTGGTCCATTCACTATGGAGGGGAGATCAGTCTCTCAGTGTCCTGAGCTCATTCAGTTCTTCCTGGGTGACTGGGGGAGTTTGCCTGTCCTTTTATGATTTTGTCCCTTTGATATTTTTCTGATCTGAAAACATTTGGGCTCCACCAAGTCTGTCAATATCTTCCTTGTATGAGAGATGTCCTTTTAGGCACAAGAGCAGAGACATTCACCTTTTGATCACTGGAAACTGAACAAAGAAATCTGACAGGGAATTTTAAAAGATGAAGTGGAAGTTTATGAGAGTCGACGTACAATGCCCTTGGAAAAAGGTCATTCTATACTGTAAATTATAAGAACAAACATTCGTGACACTGAGTAAGGCCTTTTCACTGTCCTGCTGCTCATTAAGATGTAAGGCTGAGGATATATATCAGGTTTGTGAAACTGCCAAGGTCTACGTTACTTGTCAGCCACACTCAGTTCAGTAGAACAGGTCACGTCACACACTGAGACAGCAAACTGGAAAGCCCAGATCATTCAG